GAGCTGTGGGCCGCGATGGAGCAGGGAGAAACAGGAGTGACTTGTGCTCCCAGGGAGGGTTTTGAGGCTGCCACCCTGTTATGGGCTGGGCTTTGGGATGTTTTGTTGCTCTTCCTTCTGGGAAAGGTTTGCTTCTGGTAGCCAGAATCCTGACATTGTCACACTCAGATGGGTTTAAAAATTAATTGAACAGTGATAAAGAACAACAGGGAAGAGGTAGATGTGTCCCCCTTGCAGGGGGCTGCTTAGATTGTGCCCCTCAGCTCCTGTCACTGCCAGAAGCAGCAAAGCAGCCGCACAGGGGCAGTCAGGGGGAGCTGGTCACCATTTTCCAGTTCCAGTGGATGCCACTGCCTTTGCAACTGGTTGGCTTCCCCAAACAGCAGCTCTGAAGCTGGTGCCAGCAGAGACCCCCCCTGACCAGAGCAGCGCTCTGATTTCGGGGTGCTGCTGTTCACTTGCCTGGGTGCTGTGGGGGCAGCGGGAGGGCAGAGCCGGCCAGGCAGTGAGCAGCCTCCCAGCTCCCAGGGGGGTGTCCCAGCAGAGAAACCCCCAAAGCCCCTTCCAGGAATGTTCCTCATAAAAGTACATAGCTGGAGATGTATTGTTCTGCGCAGGGGCTTTGCCCAAGGTCTTTGTCTCCCCATGGTCAAGTTCCCCTTTCCCCCTCCCCAGTGGCTGCACTGGTGGGATTTCTCTCACCAGGCTCAGGCTGAAACAAGGTGAAGTGGTTTCTCCCAGGAAGCTGGTTTAGGCTGAGCCTATGGAAAACCATGGCCATGGCCATGCAGCACAGCTAAACTGTGCTCAGCCCTGGCTCTTGGGGCTTTCTGGAAATGTGGTGCTGGCCACGGGGAGTGCAAGGCTGAGTTTGCAGGCGCTGCCTCAGGGCAGACCCCAGCCCATCGCCCTGGTGCCACTGGGAGTGCTCTGTGCCACGACGGCACCCTCCCTGATCCCCAGAGCATCTCCTTCTCCGCTGGCTTCCCCACTTTCAGCCTCCTGTAGGCAGCTGTTTAAACCTCCATTGCAAAGCAGCAGGTAGCAGCCTCTGCTGAGTCTTTCAGAGCCAGAGGTGACACACGCGATGTATGTTCAAAGCTGCGTCATTATACTGCTCACCTGGAGTAGCAGCTTTTCCATAGATCCAACATGCGACACGGCGTTAATCTGTAGGTGTTTTGTGCAGGGTAGAACTTCTCCTTGACACAGGTAGAGATGAGAGCCATTTTGTGGCTCCTGCAGTGAAAAGAGCATCCAACTGAACAGCGCCTGCTTTGCCATGTGCGCCCATAAAACCGGGCAATGCCCCCGGCAGAAAGCAGTGATGCTCACGACAGCTTGGCCTCATTTCTTCAAGGGTGACACACAGAAAAGCAGCATCATTCTCGCTGCTGTGACCCCAGGCATCAGTCCTTGCTGATGGGGAGATGAAGTATGGAGAGACCAGCAACAGGGTTGTGCCTGCACAGCTGTTTGGTCGGCCAGGCCTGTGCCCTGCGCTGTGGAGCAGGAGGGGATGGGCAGAAGGAAGGCAGGCTGGGCTTTGCAGCAGGCGATGCAGGGCTTATGCACGGCAAAAAGCTTGGCTTTGGCCCCGACCCTGCCCGTGGGATGCGGCTCTGGCTGGACCGTGGGCAGGAGCATCCCCGAGGTGCCCGTGAGGGGTGGCTCTGGCTGCAGGAGGCTCCAGAAGGTCCCGCTCTGTGCCTTGCACCTCTGTAACGCGTTGGCCTCTGATGCCTTGTGGATCTGGCCTCCGGCCTGCTGGGCCAGGCTTATCTTGGCAGCTCCACACTCTTTTCCTGGCAGCTGCAGCCCTGCTGGCCACAGGGTCAGGGTCTCCTCCAGGCTGAGGGAGGAGAGCAGCCCGAGAGTATTTACCCCCATCCTCGCTGCCTTCAGGATTCCTTTTCCGACTGAAACCCAGAATAAATGCTGTTTTCTGCACCCACCTGCATTTCCAAATGGGCAGGAGCTGTAACCTGCCTGTGGCCGAGACGAACCAGCGGCAACTCCCAGCCAGAGCTGCAGTCGAGCACTTCCCAGCTTGCTTTTTTCAGTCCATTCCAAGATTTTGTGCTTATGGTCATCTGCTCAGGGGACACAGACTCCCCTCCCTGGCTGAGCTCTTGTCATGTGGGGTTTTGCAGTGCCAGTGCCAGGCTGGGGTGTCCCTTGCTCTCGGTGCCACCAGCCCGGGCCTTGCTTGGCCTGTCATTGCCCAGCGAGGGACGGTGGCTCCCTGAGCCCCTGGGACAGGAGCCCGTGGCACAGGGCCACAAGAGCCCCACGGCCCTCACTGCCAGGTGCTGGCTGCCATGAGATTTGGTCACATTCAGCCTGTGGCCGAGTTGGTGAGCGCTCACCTTGTCGACAGGAGATCTCCCAAAAAGGGGAGGCAGAGTCTTTGTTAAAGCTGGAAGCAGCCATTGAGCTGCAAAGAGAGCAGGGAGTTGAAGATAAAGCAATTAATTACCCTTAAAATTGGAGCAGAGGAGAAGCCTCTCCGAAGTGCTACAGCTGAGTTTAAATGAGAACTGAGTAATCCTGATTGAAACCAATGTAAAAACTAGTTGGGGGGGCATTTGATTCTGTACGTCTCCCCCAACCCTTTGTATTTTTTGCCTGAGAGTGAGGAAAAGGAAAGAGGAGTGGAAATGAGAGTGAGGACGGTGACTCGAGTGGCTGATGTGGCGTCTCTTCCCATGTTGGCCTCTCGTGGCGGTAGGAAGGATGCGCTCTGTGAAGGCTGGTTTCTTACACTGAAAGGGTAGGGTTTGTTAGTGTTAACAGGGAAAAACCCTTATTTCCTGACCAACCTGGAATGGTTTGAGTTTTACAAGGCACATGGTAACCTCCTTTTGTACCCTGGGCTGCATTTGGTTGCTGGGTAAAGGAAAGCATCACCACTATTGTACTGTACTGTACGGTATTGCATTCTATTCTATTCCAGACCTGAGCTGTCAGTGTCAAGAATGACGCCATAAACGTCATTTAATCTCAGTACTGTCCCTTATATGTGACAGATGTGGAGAAAATCAGCACCTCAACCCAAAGCCCATGTCTGTGGTGGGTCGCGAATAAGCTGCTGCTGTTGATGGTGGGTTTATTTGTCATGGTTTTCCCCCTCAGGTGCTGCTGACCCTGCACCACAGAGCAGCTTTGGGCTCAGAGAGAGAGCGCCAGGCTGGGCTCAGGGTTGCTGTGGGGAGGCAGAGCAGAGCGTGAGCCCCCGGCTGCCTGGGTCAGTGTGGGCAAGGGGCTGGAGAGCCGGGGCTGCGGGTCGTGTCAGGGCTGCGGGCACTGGCCAGGGGACGGTTTGGGGCTCCAGCGGGGGTAGGCGTCTGAGCCATGGGGCGCACAGCCTGGCCCACGGGGGCTGGGGCTCTGTGGAGCCAGGGCTGGGCCTGGGAGAAGGGCCCTGGCCAGGGGCAGCTGGGCTGAGAGCAAGTCCCAGGCCTGGCCTCGAGACAGAGACCAGGTTCTGCACCGTGGGGCTTGAAACCAGGTTCACTGGGCCGGTTCTGGGTTACAGAAACTGAGCCCAAGTCCTGTGTTTGGCAGACTCAGACCTGGGCTCAGTGGCTGGTGTGGGAATCAACAGTGAATCCTGTGGGATCTGGGGCTCAGGCACAGAGTTGAGGCAGTTACACGTGTTCAGGTCTTGGAAACAGAGACCAAGTCCTGGGTGTTTGGGGCTTGAAACCAGGCTCATTTGGCCAGGTTCAGAGCTTAGTCTCTGTTTCTAAGTAAGTCTTGCATATTAGTCTTGAAACCAGGCTCCTTTGGCCAGTTTAGGGCTCAGAAAGAGAGCCCAAGTCAGTTCTGCTTTTTTCAGACTCTGAACCGTGCCCAGTGGCTGGTTTGGGGATTAGGCACAAAGAGTTGAGAGAGTTATACGTGTTCAGGTCTGGAAACAGAGACTAAAAGTGCTGCATTTTGGGGGCTTGAAACCAGGCTCACTTGTCCAGGTTAGAGTTTAGGAAAAGTAAGGCTAGGGCTCAGGCACACAGGAATTGAGGCAGTTACACATGTTCAAGTTTAGAAACAAAGTGCTGTGTTTTGGGGACTCAAAACAAGGCTCCTTTGCCCAGATTTCGGGCTCAGAAAAGAGTCTAAATCCTGTGTGTTCAGGGTCTTGAAAGCAGGGTCACCAAGCACGACCAGATGTTGTATTTGGGGGGCTTGAAACAGAGACCAAGTCCTGCATGTTTGGGCTCAGAGACTAAGTCCTGTGTATTGGAGGTTCAAATCAAGGCTCCTAGGGCCAGTGTTAGAACCGAGCAAGAGCTTAAGTGCTGTGTTTTGGGGCTTGAAACTAGGTTTATAGGCCACTTCAAGCCTCAGAAACAGACACCAAGTTTTCCACTGGAGAGCTTCAAGCAGAGCCCACAGCCCGCGTGTTCTGACACAGAGCGGGCTCCGCGGGGCTGTTTCGCTGGGTCTGGGGGCGAGGCCGGGCTGCCCCCGGCCAGCGGGGAGAGGGGCCGGGCCCGG